GCGCCCGTGAGCTGTGAAAGTGAGCTATTTTTAACCAAATTCAAGTAGAGGTGATTCATGTAAAGAATCTAAAGGTTTCAGTAATATCTTAAATTGACTTTAATGAGTAGTTAGATTGAAATAGCTCCAGGCTCTGGGGAGGAGATCAGATCCAGAGAGGCCCTTTCCTGAGAGATAAAAGAGTTTGAAAAGTAGTCACAGCAGCAACGCCTTCTTGGCTTGTTCATGCCCCTGGCACAGTGCACAGCAGGGGAGCTTTTCTGCTCATCTGACTAATTGGCCGCTAAGTACGCACAGGACAGAAAGGGACGCTTATTTCACTAACTAGCAGAAAAGCAGTAGTAGGAATGAGGCTCGCAGGGAAGGAGGCAGGGAGTCTCTGAGCATGCAGACAAGTGACACAAACTTGTAAAAACAACTTGGAGCTGCCCTTTCGGCTCCTTTGCCTTTCAGAAGCAGCAAGCTAGAAGGGTTGCAGGGGCTGGAAGAGATAAAGGAACTAGTTTTAATTTGCCTTCCGGTTCTGCTGCCAATGGCACCCTGCTGAGACAACCCCACAAGCCCATTCATACTCTTTATCAGCTAAGGCGAGGTCTCTTAAAGCTCATTTGCATCATTAAGAGGAAATACAGAAAGTCCTTCTTCACCTCACCTCGAGGAGAGGGTACCACTGGAGGGACAGAACTGTGAGCTGTGGGCTGCACTGGCTGCTCCAGTGTCGCCCAAGACCTTCCCATCCCTCCAGACACCTAGACTCTCAACACACATGCCCCTAGTTAAGCCAGACAGTGTCATCGTTTTACCAAGTATTTTTTAATACTTTTACTGGGGTTTTTTTGTTTTGTTTTCCAAGACAGGGTTTCTCTATAGCTTTGGAGCCTGTCCTGGAACTAGCTCTTGTAGATCAGGCTGACCTTGAAATTAGAGAGATCCGCCTGCCTCTGCCTCCTGTTGGGATTAAAGGCCTGAGCCACCACTGCCCACTTTTACTGTTCTTTGAGTCTGTATATGGGGGTGGGGTGAGGGGTGGTGCACGCAACGGCACAGGCGTGGAAGGCAGGACAGTGCTCAGAGATTGGTTCTCTTCCCCGTGGGAGCCTGGAGTCAGGTTTTCACTCAGCAAGCACTCTTACTTACCCTTTGAGTCAATTCACCAGCCCCCCCCCCCCACTTTAAAGCCAGTATTCTTCTTTCTTAAATTTTTATTTATCTTTTGAGACAGGGTCTCAGTGTAACCCTAGCTGTAATGGAACGCACTGTGTAAGCCAAGCTGTCCCCAAACTCACAGCAATCCTCTTGCCACTGCCTCCTGAGTTAAGACATTAAAGGCAGACGCTACCACGCTGGTTTATTTTGCATTTATAGTTTGATGTATGTACGTGTGTGAGAGTGGACACCCATGTGGGGGTCAGCAGAGGATGTCAGGAGTCTTGTTCTATCACTCTTGAGATCGCAGTGAGCATGGAGTTAGGCTGGTGACCAGCAAGTCCCAGGGATCCTTCTATCTCTGCTCCCCACGACACTGGGGTTACAGGCTTGCACAGCCATACCCATTTGTTTTCACGGTGTGCTGGGATCCACACCTAGGTCCTCATGTGTGCACAGCAAACACCCTTTTCCACTGAGCCATCTCCCTAGCCTGCACACAATGTACACACTGCAGCTTCAAAGCAGCCTTTCGAAAAACACCTATGAGCGCATAGAGGCCCTTGAAAAGTCAGAGAACAGGAAGTAAACCTGTGACCCCAGCACCCAGGAGGCTGAAGCAAGAACACTGAGGTTAGCCTGGGCTACATAGAAATTCTGAGGTCAGTCAGGTCATGAGAAGTCTCTCATGGAGCTCAGCAGTGGTGCTCAACATCGTGGAAGGAAAGAACTGACTCTTGGAGGTTGTCCTCTGACCTCTACGTGTGGACCATGGTACGCGCGCACACACAAACTTAAAAAGCAGGTATGAAAGAAGGGTGGGACTAGGGTCAGAGGAGAATTGCAGGGCTGGAGGTAGAGCTCAAACGTGGAGCACTTGCCTAGTATGTGTGTGTGCTCTCTGAGGTTTGGTCCCTGGAACTGTTTAATAAATACACAGGGCGAGATTCCCCAAAGCCAAAGAACTCTGGCACAATGTACCTCCCATTCTGGTACAAGTCATACAGTAGGTGGTCAGAAATGCCGAGCTGGAGGGTTCTGCTGGCCGTCTGATGTCCTGAAGAGAGGTGTCCATTTTTTTTTAATATTTATTTATTTATTATATATACAATATTCTGTCTGTGTGTATGCCTGAAGGCCAGAAGAGGGCACCAGACCTCATTACAGATGGTTGTGAGCCACCATGTGGTTGCTGGGAATTGAACTCAGGACCACTGAGCCATCCCTCCAGCCCGAGAGGTGTCTATTTTGAGATGCAGAGCAGGGTCCATGTTTTGACTTCCTGAGAGCACTGTGTCTGTCTAAAAACTTCATGTGGGATCTTGCTCTTGCTATTTACTGGCACAGAACAAGCTGCTCATACTTTCGGAGATGGCCTGAGGGAGGCGCCGTGAGGCTGAGGCCAGGGACAGGGTTGGCTGTGTGTGCTCCAAGAGAACAGATGCTCAGAGTAAGCATGAGACGGTATTTCAGTAGGTCTAAAAACTTCATAAAGTAGACCTAAGGTACATTCGTCAAGAATCAGGATCAACTAGCTGTGAACTTCAGGTTCTAACAAAAGGCCACTGTTTCCAAAGATGAAACAGCAAAGCTCCAGATTTCCTACGGCCATGGACAAACCATAGACATGGCCATGATACAATCCATTTCTGGCAAACGTTTACTCTGACCTAAACTACCTGTCTCTTTATCATTGATGTTAATTGCTTTCATGTGGGTCCCCAGGACTGAACTTAGGTTGTCAGGCTTAGCAACAGGTGCCTTTATCCACTGAGCCATCTTACCAGAACCCTAAACAAACTCCTCTTATAGTATAGTCTCAAATAATATGGCAATTTGATGGTGATAAAAATAAATAAGAGCTGACTGCTTGATAGCACACTTTTACATTTTTTATTATTTTATTTAGCTTTATGTGCATTGTGTGAAGGTGTCAGATTCCCTGGAACTGAAGTTACAATTGCGAGCTGCCATGTGGGTGATGGGCATTGAACCCAGGTCCTCGGGAAGAGCAGCCAGTGCTATTGGGTGCTGAGCCACCCCTCCAGCCCCGACAGCACTCTTATGAGGCAGTGTGGAGCCTCATGCCTGCAATGCCAGCACGCTACCCAGTGTATTCTAGGATATCCTGGGCTGGAGGCTGTCTAAAAAACCCAAATGAATAAAATTTAAAAGATAACTTACATCCTTTTGTTTTTTGAGACAGAGTTTCTGTGTAGCCCTGGCTGTCCTGGAACTCTATTGTAGACTGCATCTGGCTCCTGAGTGCTGGGATTAAAGGTGTGCACCACCACCGCCCATCTGAGAATGTACATTCTTAACTCGTGTTGAAATAATGTCTGGAACACGGTTTCATCAGAGGCACTGGAGAATGTACCAGAAGTTCATGGTTACAGTTGCTAGAAATTGGGGCAGAGAATCCATGGCTGATACATGATTTTAGAAATAACCCTTTTCAGGATTGCTGTCATTCACACAATAGGGAGGGAGGGCCAGAACCTAGAGGGATGCTTCAGTAAGTACATTGGTTATCTTGAACACAGGGACCTAAATTCCAGTCTTAGAACACAGAACCCAATGTGGTGGCACATATTGGTTAATCCCAGCACTAGGGAGACAATGGTGGGTGCCTGGGGTCCCTAGCTGGTCTAGCCTAAACACTGACCTTGAGGTGAATGAGAGATCATGACTCAAAAGAGACGAAGTCTTTCCTGAGGACTGCACCGATGTTGGATGTGCTCTTTTGATACAGTAATTTTCTTTTCAAGACAGGGTTTCTCTGTGTAGTCCTGGCTGTCCTAGAACTCAGAGATCCGCCTGCTTCTGCCTCCTAAGTGTTAGTATTAAAGGTGTGCACTACCACCAACCGGCTTGATACAAAATTTTACATTCATTAAAAAACAAAACCAAACAACAACAAAACCTGACTGGCGCGAGCTCTCTCTCTCTCTCTCTCTCTCTCCCCCTTCCTCCCTCTCCAATAAAGGGGTCTGGAGCATGTATGGTAAGTGCTCTTCCACTGAGATCCACCCCCTGTTCCAGGTATCTGAGCCAGCTGACAGAGGCTGTGAGCAATGAAACCCCTATATACAAATGACAAACATTAGGGTGCTTCCAACTCAAACCTCATTAAGTGCTAGATCTGCGGGGAAGAGTGTGACCCCTCGTATTCAAGGCGCTGCCAGCAACATGGTCTCTATACTGTGAGATCAATGGAAATAGTGAGAAAAACATCAAAATGGAGGTGAGTTAGATGTCATAAGTGACATACATTTGGGGATTATCTACTAAAAGCCATACTTTCAGCTGGTTTATAGAAGCCTGAAATATTGAACACTTTTCTCCAGTTTCTAATATCTTTTTTGACTCCTAGAGCCAGACAGAATGGAAGTAATTATATGGCCCAATTTGTTCCTGGGAGTCTGTGTGTGAAATGCTGGCAGTTTTAATTTCCATACTAATGCTGGAAAAACATTTCGAGAGGCAAAGTAATAGAAAGGTCTCTGTAATAGAAAAAATACAGAGAAAAAAACCAAACACAACAAACAGCAGCCAGGAAGGTGAGTGACCGCTGTGGTGATGGCCGGATCACTTACTCCACGGTGATTCCAACTGCCCATCATGTCTGCAGGAAGACAGCCTTTCCTCGGCATGCTGCCTTCAGTGAACTCCAACCGTCAAAGCCAACAAGGTGTTTTCCCCCCACGAAGCCTTGGTTTTCTCCTTGAAAACCACCTACCTGTTTTGTAGTTCACAAGATCAAACAAAAAAAATCTGTTTTCTTGATCTCACCAACAGCTCATGCAGACACTCACTCATCGGAACTGATTTTTTTGCTTCAGCCTTAATTCATTGAGAAATGAGGACATTTATTTATCTATTTTGAGACACGGTCTTGGATTGTAGCCCTGGCTGGCCTGGAGCTGAGAGACCTGCCAACCTCTGCTTCCTCACTGCTAGGATCGAGGTGTGTGTCACCACACCTGGCTTGAATGCAGGACTTTCCCCAAAACATCTTGACATAAGAATGTTAAGAGGCTATGTGCTGGGTGACAGGACCATCCAAGTTACAGAGATTGGAAAAGTATGCAAATGAGGAGACATGGCTTACGAGCATTTAATAACTGCACTGCACAGAACTTCCTGGTGAACGTGACATCGGGGAAGCACATGTCAAACAGTGCTAAACTCAGCAGCTGACCGGTGGGTTAGCACCAATGCTAGTCTGTACTAAGGAAGGGAGATGTGAAGTAAGGTACAAGGTAGGCCTGCAGAAAGGGAGGCTCCATAGGATGAAGTAACTGAGCCGGGTGTGGTGGCGCACTGTGAGGTCGAGGCCAGCCTGGTTTACAAAGTGAGATTGTTCCGTGACAGTCGGGACTGTGACACAGAGAAACCCTGTTTCAAAAACCGAAAGAGAAAAGGATGAAGTAACTGAGGTGAGCACAGACGCCAGCGTCCTCTAATAGAGGATAGCTGTAAGTACAGGAGGTGGATCTGATGAGCAGTAAGGGCCTCACTATGCTGATCTGGTCGTCTGATTTGCTTTTTGACTTGAGATAGGTTTCACCAGGAAGCCCTGGTTGGTCTCAACTTCTTCATCCCCCAGTCTCTGCCTCCCAGTACTGGGGTTACAGGTGTGGTCTGGTGCTGTTCTTTAACAATGTTTAAAGGTCACCAAGATTAAGGGTTCCAGACTGACACGAGCCTCTTTCAGATGAAAAGTACTCTTAGATTCCTGGGTTTACTGGGGGATCATGAGGCATAAGGTCATCTTGTTAGGGCTTAAAAATAACATCACAATTCTGTGACTAGGTACTGCCCGAAGGGAACTGAAAAACTAGGCATTCAACAAGTGTCTGTGTAGACATTTCATAGTGGCACCATTCACAGGAGCTGAGGCTGTGACAAGAACACAGATGCTCATCAGACACACGCTAAACAAAATGCAGTATTTATACAGAGAAGTGTTATTCTGCCATTAAAAAGAAATGAAGTATTGAAGTGTGTTACACTGTGGGTTAGCAATAAAATATTGTATGAAGTGAAGAAGCCAGATACATACCAAAGCCACAAAGTGCATAATCACACATCCATTCATGTGAACTATCCAGAGAGATAAGGTCAGGGGACAGGAGAGCAGACCAGCGGATGCTGGAAGGCTGGGAGGAAGGCATTTTGGAGTGATTGCTTACAAGGTTCTCCTGCGGGGGGTGATGGAATAAAAGGATGACTTGGCACTAGGCTGGGAACTGCACAGCACTGTGGACGTACTGCTACTGAGTCTACGTCTTGACACAGTGACCTCCGTGTTAACATGAGCTTCATTGCTACAAAACGGTGGTGCCCTACACACAAGCCGTAGGTCACAGCGGGTGCTCAGCCTTTCTGGGTGTGCTGCCCTTCAGTGACTGATGTCAGTAGACAGCAAACGGAGACAGCCTGTTGGTGAGGCACAGTGGCACTCATCCACAGAAACGGCTTCTTGGGAGGCTGAGGCCAGAGAAGAGTCTGAGCCTAGGACTCCAACCCAGAGAGAACCCTTTACAATTTTTCTTTTACTTATTGAGTGTGTATGTGGGTACGTGTGTGTATGCGTGCACACATATGGGCCATGGCACATATGTGGAGGTCAGAAGAACTTGTAAAAGTCAGCTCTCTTCCTTTACCAGGTGGATCTGGAGATTAAACTTGGGCTACCAGGCTTGGCAGGAGGCACCTGTACCTACTGGGCCATTTGGTTGGCCCAGAGACCCACCCCTTTCAAAAAAATCCCAAAGACATTACAAGTTCCAAATAAGGCATCTACATAGCTGAGGTTCCCTAGTTTGTCCAGGTAGCACAGCACCTAGTGGAGTTAAGCTTATAAGAAGCAGTAAAAATGTTTTTAATTTGTAGAAAGTGCAAAAAACAAACCAAAACAAAAACAAAAAACCAGTGAGAAACACAGAAAGGGCTCCTGGGAAGTACATGTAAGGACATGACTGTGCGGCTGCCCGTGCAGAGTCACCGCTCTCAGGGAGAAACTAGGTTTGTGTTTCCCCCAAACTGCACAGTTTACAGTAACTTACTGTTACCACCCTCAGAGTTGGCAAGAGGTCACACTCAGAGAGCCTGCGGCTGCCGTTTCCTATTGCTTCCCCACCGAGACAAGGCAGGAGGTTAAGTTACTTCAGGAGGCTCTCAACAGGGCCTCCCATTGTTGCTTGTTAGAAATTCAGAGATACAATGGGCCCCATTCATGCTGCCCATCACAGGCTGGGAACAGCCCCTCAGTGTCCACTCAACTCTGGGTTAGGAAACGGAATTTTCATAGACGCCAACTTGCACAAATACAAGTTAATTATTAAAACAAAAAAACAAAAACAAAAAAACTGAAACAGTATAGAATAAAAAAATAAAACCAGGGGTCAAGACACCTGAGTCAGAGCCATAGCTCTGTCCCTAATGTGACTTTAGACAGATCACATGCTCCTTCTGCGTCTTGGTTTCCTTGTGGGAAAATGAAAAGGTTTCTAGAAGTCTACAGACACAGGAGGGCTAGTGACATCACCGTACCAGTCTCCTCAAGGCGTGCAGACGAGAATCAAGACAATCACTAGCTCACAGCTTTCACTATCAGCACTAAACACAAGGCGTCGTAATAGATGGAACCATCAGAAAGAGTCCAGCAGGTCCTGTGTGTCAACAAGCCCAGGGTCATTGAAGGTAGCCCCATACAGAGAAGGACAAGGACCTTCTAGGATGAAGGACCTAACAGAAGCCACACTGTTTCCGCGTCACCTGCTCTTGGGCATTGTGAGAATCTCCAAGTCCTCAGGATGAAAGCACCATGTGCAGCTACGATGGGGCTGGTGGCGCCAAGCCGCCGCAATGTCATTTCTTGGCTTTTTCAACCTCAAAACCTGCCAGAGCAAGGACTTTATCTCCAGAGCCTAAGGAAAAGACACAAAATAAAAAGGTTATTTCAAGGCATTTACAGTCCCAGGTAAGAACCACATAGACACAGAACAGAAATCAGATGCATTAACCTCAACAAAGCCGGCTGCCATCTGGATCTCCTACCCCTCCATAAACACTCCGGCCACACGAGTGGCTTCCTGGTGACGAATCCTAACTCAGTTCTAGGTTTGAAGGCAAATATGTAAAATTCTCATTTACTGTTATAATTACATGTTGCTGAAAGGTATTTGAACACAGTCAGCTGCAAAGCTGGGGATACTGGGGCTAAGAAGCCAGTGCTTGGGGATTAAGGGCACTTGCTAGAGGGCTCCGGTCTGATTCCCAGTATACACATCAGTTCACAACCATAACTCCAGTTGCAGGGGACCCAACACACTCTAATGGACCGCCAAGACATCATATGCATGGAACCAAAACACTCATACATGTAAATTTTTAAAATACATAATTCTTTAAAAAAGGAAAAACAGCTAAGAATGTTGGTGTGTTCCTACAGTCCTAGCTACATGACAGCTGAGGCAGGAGGATGACTTCAGCTGAGAGGTGAAGGCAAGGCTAGACAACACAGTAAAGGAGCATCTCAAGAAAAGGGAAGGGGAAGCCAGGCGGTGGTGGAGCACACCTTCAACCCAAGCACTCGGGAGGCAGAGGCAGGAGGATCTCTGTGAGTTTGAGGGCAGCATGATCTATAGAGTGAGTCCCAGTACAGCCAGGACTTAACAGTATAACTACAGAGAAACCCTGTCTCAAAAAACAAAAACAATTTATTTCATGTGGATGTGCACCTGTGCATGCCTGGTGCCTATAGCCAGAAAGGGCCACCAGAGCCCCTGGAACCAGAGCTACAGACGGTTATGAGTTATCATGTGGGTGCTGGGCATTCAACCAGGCCCCCTGGAAGAGCAGCCAGTACTCTGAACCATCTTTCCAACAACATGGCATGTAATTTTCTGAAAACTCATCTGCTTTATTTTATTTTTTTAGAGTACTGGGGCTAAGTGTGTGGTACATGCTCATGGTTCTGGCACTTGGGAGGTAAAGGCAGAGAGATGCTGAGTTCAAGGCCAGATGAGGGTCCCTGGTAAGAGCCTGCATAGAAAAGGAACGAAAGGAAAGGCTAGAAAGTCAGATCTGTGGTGAAGAATGGCTAGTGTGCTATCTGAGGAGCTGAACTGGATCCTAGCACCCACATCAGAAAGCTCACAGACATCTTTAACTCTAGGTTCCAGGATCGAAGGCTCCATTCTGTGGGTATCTGCATGACCGTGTGCATACACACCACACATGCATACATAAAAAAGGAATCTCTTTTTAGAACTGTAAAATATAACTAATTTAAAGGATTTTTGAAGAAAATAGTTCTGGGCTGGAAAGATAGCTCAACGGTTAAGAGTACTGGCTGCTCTTCCAGAGGATCCCGGTTCAGCTCCCAGTACCCACATGGGTAGTTCACAACCACCTGCTCACTCAAGGTCCGGGACCCAGGACTTTCATATGGCCTCTTCAGACACCAGCACTCATATGCACAAACACATGCACATACAGACACACAGAAAGAAAATCAAATATGAATAATTCTGTCACTTTAAACTCGAAGAAAGGTCATTATGTTGTCTCAAGCACAAGGTGATGGGTTTGATCACCCTTCCCTCCATCCCTCCCTCCCTCCCCCCTTCTCTCTCTCTCTCTCTCTCTCTCTCTCTCTCTCTCTCTCACACACACACACACACACACACACACACAGTATCTCTCCCTTAAGACCCTTCTACTCCTGGGAGTTCTTTTACTTTCCTTAATAAATCTATGTTTACTCTAAAAGACAGAAGAAAAGGAGTAAAATCAAGCAAGAGGAGCAGAGGGGAGGGGAGGGGAGGGAAAGAAATGGGAAGGGAGAGGGAACGAAGAGGAAACTCACTCACCTAGGTCTGTGGAGACTTTCTCAAACTGGCTGAGCGCAGCACCTGCATTGGCTGTCAGGAAGGCCTCGTCATCGTCGGTCAGCTGCACAGGTGAGACAAAGTGCAGTGGGTGAGAGCAAGGGTCAGAGCAAGTCCTGGGCCCGCAGTAAGGAAGGCTTAGGGGCTGGGGCGGGCCTAGCAGTTAAAAGCACTCACTGCTCCTGCAGTGGAGCCTGGTGCATTCCCAGTACCCACATGCAGCTCACAACCAACCCAAACTCCAGTTCCAGGGGATCCACTACTGTCTGCTGACGTTCTTGGACACCAGGCACACATGCACATAGCGTACACACATACAAGCAGACAAAACATTCACACACTTAAAATAAACCTAAAATCATTTTTCTTAATTTCTTAGATCTCTAGACCACATCGCAGCACGTTCTGTAACAAGCACAACACAAATGTTCTATCAGCCAATCACACTGCGTGCCAGGACCTTTTCTCCGAGCTTCCTGAGAGCGGTGAGAATCTCCACTTTCTGCTGCGTGTACAGGTCTCTTTCCAGCTTCCCCACCATCAGATCTCTGTCCATCTAAAGAGCAAAGGCAAGGCGTGTGCACATGAGCAAAAGGCAGTCTGTGTAGAAAACCCAGCTTTTCAGTGCTGCTTCTTAGTTTTTTTGTTCTGCTTGTGGTTTGTCGAGATAGGGTTTCTCTAACAGCCCTGGCTGTCCTGAACTCACTCTATAGACAAGGCTGGCCTCGAACTCACAGAGCCTCTGCCTCCCGAGTGCTGGGATTAAAGGTGTGCACCACCACCGCCCAGCCAGTCCTACTTCTTAAAACAAAAACAAAAGTACTTGGTTAATATAAAAAACTATAGAAATAATCTGAAACATCACGACATAAGTGCCATCAGGTAAGTTTTTGAAATTAAAAAAAAATTACCTTCATTGTTTATCTGTGTGTGCATATATGTGTGTATATGCATGTGTATGTATGTGTGCGTGTGTGCATGTGCATACATGCATGTTCTTGTGTGTGAGTGTGCATGCCTGGGCTTTTGTGTGAAATCAGAGGACAAGTTGTGGCAGGTGATTCTCTCCTACCATGTGGGTCTGGAGATGGAAATCAAATCAGGTCAGGCTGTCAGGCCTGGTGGCCTTACCCACTGAGCCATCTTGCTGGCCTAGAACAGTTTTTACTTTCCATTTTTGCTTTTTGACTCACTCTGTAGTTCAGGCTGACTTCAAAACATGTGGGTAACTCTCCTGCCTCAGACTCCTAAATGTTAAGGCCACCGACATAAGCTACCACATCAGCCCAGTTTTAATACATTTTAAGATTATTATTACTGGGGGCTGGAGAGATGGCTCAGAGGTTAAGAGCATTGTCTGCTCTTCCAAAGGTCCTGAGTTCAATTCCCAGCAACCACATGGTGGCTCACAACCATCTGTAATGGAGTCTGGTGCCCTTTTCTGGCCTGCAGGTATACACACACACAGACAGAATATTGTATTACCTTTTCTTTTTAAATTTTGTTATTGTGTGTGTTGTATGCATGTGAGCAGGCATACCACAGCATGCGTGTAGAGGTCAGAGGGCATGGAAGTGATTCTCTCACTCTACATTCCCCCATTCTTATTATTTAAATTACATTTACTTATTTACTTTGTGTTCACAGTGCATGAACACAGCTCAGAGGACAATTTTCAGGAGTCAGTTCCCCTCCACCACATGGGCCCAAGCAAACTCAGGTCATCAGGCTCGGTGGCAAGTACCTTTACCAGAAGCACCACCTTGTTGGCCCTTCTTACTCTTGAGACAGGGTCTCTTGTGTTATCCAGGCCTGCCCTACCTCAAATGATCTTCCCTTTGGCTCCCAAGGAGCTGGGACTGCAGCCAGCTTCTAAGTGTCATCAAACCCCCATGACATCCACAAGTAGAAACTGACATAGTCACCTTACAGATAAGAAAACGAGGGAGCTGGAGAGATGGCTCAGTGGTTAAGAGCATTGCCTGCTCTTCCAAAGGTCCTGAGTTCAATTCCCAGCAACCACATGGTGGCTCACAACCATCTGTAAAGAGGTCTGGTGCCCTCTTCTGGCCTTCAGGCATACACACAGAATACTGTATACATAATAAATAAATAATAAAAAAAATACCTTTAAAAAAAAAAAAGAAGAAGAAAACGAAGGTACACGATACAAGGGTGACTTCAACAACTCACCAAAGGCTGCCTGCCCTACCCAGGATGCACAGCAGGAACTTAGACCCAACTCATCTCATCTTTTATATATATATAATAGTTTATATATAATATAAATATATTTTATAATATATAAATTATATAATTTATATATATAAATATATATTTTTTCCCTTTGTTCTTATTTCATGTGCATTGGTGTTTTGTCTGGATAAGTCTACAAGAGGGTGTTGGGTACCTTGGTATAGAGTTAGTGAGGGTTGTGAGTGGCCACGTGAGTGTTGGGAATTGAACACTTGTCTTCTGGAAGAGCAGTCAGTGCTCTTAACTACCGAGCCACTGCTCCAGCCCCCAATAATCTCATCTTAATCTATGATGTTTCCCCGTGTGTGTATGTGCTCCTATGTGTATACAAGCGTGTCTGAGTCATGCTAGAGGTCAATTTCAGGGTCTCTCACTGGCAAGAGCCCCAGGGAGCCTCTGGTCTCTGTCTCCCCAGTGCCAGGACCACTGTGTGTGCTGCTCACCTGGCATACTTTACCAAGGGGGTCATCTCTCCATTCCCTAAAGTTATGCTCTTCCTATTCTACTGAATTACTTGTAGATGGAAATTACCTATTAGTCCGTAATTATATTCAAGTCCACGGAAAGATTTCTGGAAGTAAGAATTTATAAATAAAAATAAAATAAAAAATAAAAAAAATAAAAGAAAGAGGCAGAGGAGGCACACACCTTTAATATCAACACTCGTGAGGCAGAGGCAGGCAGATTTCTGAGTTCTAGGCCAATATGGCCTACAGGACAGTCAGGGCTACAGAGCTCCTCTATGCAGCACAGAGATAAAGAAACCCTGTCTCAAAGAAAAAGAAAGAAACAAAAAGATACTGGACAAGCAGAAGAAATGGCTCAGTGATTAGGAACTGTGTGCTGCTCTGAGAGGACTCGAGTTCAATTCCCAGAATCCACTTCAGGCTGTTCACAACCTCCTGTAGCTCCAGGATATTTGATGCTTCTGGCCTCTGAGGACATCTGCACAATTGTGCACATGTGCACTTACATACATCCGCAAACATCACTCAAAACAATAGAAATAAGCTGGGTGGTGGTGGTACACGCCTTTAATCCCAGCACTCGGGAGGCACAGGCCAGCCTGGTCTACAAGAGCTAGTTCCAGGACAGGCTCCAAAGCTACAGAGAAACCCTGTCTAGAAAAACCAAAAACAAATTAGAAAGAAATCTGAAGAAAAAAAAAAAAAGATTAACAGTGCATACCCAGGAACAATGCTGATGCTGAATTCCAAAGAGGATCTCGAGTTAGGGCCCCAGATATAAAGGACAAAATACTAAAGGTGGAGGCCAAGAGAAGTGGCTGGGGGAGATTTAAATAGCCACATGCTGTTAAAACATTCATTTATTATGAATTATAACTGTCCAAGGTACAAACTGTCAAAAACTTGAGGGCTGTGGCTCTAACACCAACTGAGCAAATTGTAAACAGTAGGCTACTACAATCAGTACAGTCACGGGCTTGGAAGACAAACACACACAGCAACTGGATCAACGTGAAGAAACTTTACCTCTGCTAACCTTGTCCGAAGTTGACCTGGTTGTTTCTTTGCAAACAATCTGATGACTTCCGGTGTTTTAAAGGCCTGACTGATAGCCGCCTGAATAGCCTGGAAACACAGGAACACAAAAACTAACCAAAACATTCTACACAATTACATCTGCGATACTGGACTAATGAGTCTTAGTTAATAGGTTTTAGTGTTTGAGATCAGTTTCTTTTTTTTTTTCTTTCGAGACAGGGTTTCTCTGTAGCTTTTTTGGTTCCCATCCTGGAACTAGCTCTTGTAGCCCAGGCTGGCCTCGAACTCACAGAGATCTACCTGCCTCTGCCTCCCGAGTGCTGGGACTAAAGGCGTGCGCCACCACCGCCCAGCTTGAGATCAGTTTCAATTTACAATTTCTGAGCACATTAGTGGAGCCAAGCAGACACAAAATCTAGAAGCAATCTCAGAAACACAGCACTTTTTCTTTCTTCTTTTCCTTCACTTTTTTATGTTTTATTTTGAGATGCTGGGAAATAATCTAGGGTCTTGTACTTGCTAGGCACGTACAGTACCACAGAGCTCGGTCCTTGGCTTTCGAAGTGCACATTTTCTATCTGAAATACACTCACAAAGAAGCAAACAACAAGCCATGCACAGAAGACTCGACTGGTCAGTTCCTCTTACCAGCTGCATGCCGCTGAGCTCATCGACCAAGGTCATATTTCCCGACATAATCTTCTTTAGGGAGTCACTGAATTCACGCAGCTGCTCCAGAGTTTCCCTTTTAGTTTCTTCATATTCGTCGGTGTCAAGCTCCTCTCTGAAGCACAGTTTACATCAGAGTGCAGAAAACACGTCTAAGCCTGAAAACCTCGGTACTCGATCTAGAGCAAGGCTGAAGGGGAGTACCAGCTGGAGCGGCACATGTCCAGTCCACAGAGTTGAGCTACTGGCATCTCCATTGTCTTTCACTGCGGCTGAACCCGGGGCTGAGTGTGTGTTATCTCCCCTTGCCCCAGGAGGCACACTTAGGCACACAGTACCTTCTCCTAAAGAGACCAGTTGTATAACCTCGGGCAAGGCATGAACAGGGACAAACCTCAGTTGTCTACACAACTTCAGATCACTATAGTGCCTTTTCCTAAGTGTTCATTAAGAAGGAAACGCCTGGCGTCTATAGTAACGGTAAACGGTTGCTGTTAGCTTCAGTCTCATCAATGGCGGGAAGCACCTTGTGTGCCCACTGGCGAGCAGAGCGGCACACCTGTCAGCTGAGTAAAAGGCTATTTTTATTTACCAAACAAGCTGCTTATTAAATATTTACTACAAGTAACAAGAGCTCTACACGCTCAGCTACCATTTACGGGGAACTTACTCTAGGCCAAGCACTATATTGTCTCTTTCATTTCCATATTTACAGCATCCTTGGGAGGTTATAAAAAGTACAATTAATAGCTTGTTTTCTTCTGCTTTATTGAAATGGGGTCTCATACAGTCAGGTTGGCCTGAAACTCACAATGTAGGCAAGAAGGACCTTGAGCTTCTGATTCTCCTGCATCCACCTCACATGTGCTGGGATATAGGAGTGTACAACCTCCCTCTCTTCCCTCCCTTCTTTGATGCTGGGAATTGAGTCCAAGCCTCTGGTGTATTAGGCGCCCACTCATCCGCAGAAGAACGCCCACAGCCCAATCACAGCATTTTGAGCAATTAGCTAGGAGTTCATTCTAGACAGAGCTGTTTTAAATACTAAAGACAACGTAAGCTTAGCTATTTCCAGGAATATTTTAAGTCTTCCACATCCCAGGCTTTATGAGAAGTTTACTTTTCCCACAGGCAGAGTGCTGTAGAACACTGCAGAGGAGACCAAAGTCACATCCATGGAGCTTGAACTCTCTCCATCAGAAACAGAGTAATGACACATAATTATATTATTACCTGCATTCCTCCAGATCTTGTAATTGCTGCATCAGTCTATCCAACTGTTCTTCTAAATTCTGCTTTAATTTGCTTGTCTCTGTCTTTCCTCTGGAAGCCATTTTAATCACTATAAGAATGATAAACCCACATGGAGTACATTGGATTTGGTTACTTAAGAAGACTGAACATACCAGTACAATTCAAAATTAAGAAAATATAAAATGCTGGGAGTGGCAGTGGTGGCGCACACCTTTAATCCTAGCACTTGGAAGGCAGAGGCGAGGGAACTCTGAGTTCAAGGCCAGCCTGGTCTACTGAGTGATTTCCAGGACAGCCAGTGCCACACCAAAACCCAAACCAAACCAAAAAACAAAACTGAAGAGACTATAGTATGTCTAGGATTACAGGTATACGCCAACAGGCCCAGCCTTTTTCTTTTCTTTTTTTGCAGGAGATTGAACTCAGGGTCTCATTCGTGCCTAAGCAAGCACTCTACCATTAAGAAAATCCCCTGCCCAGTAAGTTTTTACTGTTTAATAGAAAAATCTGTCTTTCTCCTTTTGGGGGAAATGGGAAGAACCAGCATACTAAGTGTGCCCCCTACCGCCAGGCCACATCCCCAAGCCGCAATTCAGTCTCAAGAAGCAAAGTTATTCTGAATAAATTTCAGGGAATACTGAGGCTTTTTAAAAAGCTTTAACCACACGCTACAGATTTATGACAGGAAGATTTAACTCACTGGCACCACCTAGTAATAAAGATAAGAGATGCATTTTCTTCAAATCTGCAGAAATGGCCCTCCAGTACTGTCAGCTGGAGAGGAAGGGAACATTCATTCATGCTGATCGGGCTTCTCGGATTGCACAAACCGCCAACTTTGGAAGCTCGGAGTGTCGTCAGTTTGAGAAAAGCGTACTTGTTCATAGGGTTTACAAGGAGGCTCGAACGTCAAACCTCCGAGGGGTGGAGTTGGCTAGACCAAGGGAAACTATTAAGTAGTTTATTTGCTATGTATGAACTTGGCCTACAGACGTCCAGATAACTTCCCCTTAAGCATAAGTAGCCTGTAACTGAAATACACTTTCCACTCCTAGGAAGACGCAACAGAGGGCGTTTAACTCCTGGACTGTGCCTCCTGTAGCTTTTTCTGAGGTTTCCTCTGATGAGGCCACAACGCCCAGGAAACGCCTTGAGGAAAACTGTCCAACTCAGAAGCACGAAAGGCAAGGGCAGAAAGCACACCTTCTCAGGGTCGGAAGTGAGCAGCGCTCGACCCAGGACCACCGAGGACAGGAATCAGGGAAAGCGGCACCCTCGGCCGCCAACCTCCTCCCTGCGGACGAACTCGTAGCTCCGGTCCGCAGGTCCCGCGGAGGCCGGGTTCCCGCCGGGGCGCGGTGCTCAGCTGCTGTGGCGTGGGGTCCGACGCCTACGAAACGCTCGGCGTGTGATCGGGAACCGGACAACCTCCTTCTGCCCTGGCGTTGCCCGCCCGCCTCCGGCCAGCAGATCCTAGGGTTTGGATCCAAGCGCCCCGCCCCTGACGGCCCGGGCCGGGCGGACCAGGCCGGAGGAGCACTTCCGCTGGACGCGCGTACTTCCGGCTGCGTGGAACCAATGAAAGCGCGGTGCGGTGTTCCCTTCGCTAGCTTCCGGGCCGAGGTTGTCTGCTGGAGGACTGGGGCGGTTTGGCCTGCGGGGCTTGGTAAGCACCCCGCACGCGGTCCTAGGATAACCCGTTTTGGGGAACGTTAGCCCAGCACCCCTTATTGTGCCAAGCAAAGGGGAAAGCGCAGTGGCTGGGCCTTTAGAGTCCTTTGTAACGGTCCCTGGAACCAGGTCTTCAGAGTCAACTCTTGCTCGTTAGTTCCCCCTCGGAACCAAAAAGTTGGTAAAATGTCCTGTGACCTTGGTGCAGGTCAGCTTTGGGATGCCCTGGGGGGTTTCCTTCTCTAGAGGTGTCCTGAGAGCAGAAGCCCGAGCGCTTAGAGGGACGTGGGTGAGAGGCAGTGGGGGAAAACCGGCGTTGTGAGGTACTCCTCCTTCCCTCCTAAATTCTTTCCAAATATGGGAAAGATCAGATCCACTTTACTGACAGCCGTTTGTCAAAGCCTTGAGAACTAGGAAAATATCTGCTGGATGGATTTTAAACGTTACCCGGAAACTGAGTGCAAAAGCTTTGGAGTGATTCCATCTTCCTGAATAGGTACTATAGTGATCCACAGGGCATTGGGTTTTGAGGTAAACTTCGTTCAAAGACAGTATTAAAATTTGTATTTCATTCCGTCAGTACGAACTCCAGACTTGAATTATCATAGCGCTCTCCTGGGTGTATTGCAGCCCCTTTGCCTCGGCTGTTTGTCATTGCTGTTTGTTGCAATGTGGAAACGGCCTTTCTAGACAGCTATTCGGCCTGCTTTGCAGAAATGCTCCCCGAGTCAAGCGTGTGCCTGTTGTGTTGATGCAGCTGTCTTTGATTTTCCATATGAGAATGTGTGCCAGCTTCTTAGGTGGAATGCCCCGAAGGGTGTAAGGAAACTTTATTCTGGTGGTACCAGACTTGAAGCCTGAAGTGTGGGAACTTTTCAGCCAGACGCTCACATTGGGAGGGGAGAGAGAAGAGGAAGAGGGCAACAGTGAGATTTGTGGGGCTGGAGAGAAAACTCAGTTGTAACTCGGCTGCATAATGCCCTGGATTTGGTCGCCAGCACCAGGCAAAACTGGGAGTGGTGCTATACTCTGAGGTAGAGGCTGGAGGCACCAAAGTGAATTCTAGAACAGCCTAGGAACATGAAAATGTGTCTTTTAGGGGGTGGGGATGCAGAGGATGACAGGGTTTCTCTGTGTAGCAGCCCTGGCTGTCCTGGAACTCACTTTGTAGACTAGGCTGGCTTCAAATTCATAGAACTCTGCCTATCTTTGCCTCCCAAATGCTGGGATTAAAGGCACCACTGCCAGCTGAAATTTTGTCTTAAAATTCAACCAAACAGCAGCAATTAAAATTGAGTGCAATAGTCCACACCTCTAAATTCAGTGTTTGGGATGCTCAGGCCAGATGACCAGGAGTTCTGGGCTAGCCCAGGCTATATGAGACCTTATCATTAAAAAAAAAAAAAGAAAAGAAAAGAAAGAAGAAAAGAGACAGATTCAGAGTCAGGCATTGTGGTATATGCCTTTAATCCCACCAGTCAGGAGGCAGAGGCAAGCAGATCTCTGAGTTCAAGGCCAACCTGGTCTACAGAGTGAATTCTAGGACATCCAGGGCTGCATGGTGAGGCCCTGGCGAGAGGGGGGTGTGCCATTTGACTAGCTCAGGAATGGAGGTATGTCACCATATGCTTCATCCTGGGTACTGTTCCCAGAACTATGGAGTGATGATGGGTGGAGAGAAATAGTCCTTTTGAACGTTACTCAAGTGGTTTGGATTTTTAAAAATTTTCTAGTAATATGAATGACAATTCTCAGAAATTTTTTTAAATGTAAACACAGGAAAGTGGCCTGTTCGGCTTGAGGTCACCACTATGCATCTGGGAGTTTTGCCCTTGCAAGAAAACAGGATAAGGAAAAAAGCCTATTCCAGACAGTTCTACCAGGAGATGGAAGAGAGAGGTTTTTTGGTTTTTCGAGACAGGGTTTCTCTGTAGCTTTGGAGCCTGTCCTGGAACTAGCTCTTGTAGACCAGGCTGGCCTCAAACTCACAGAGATCCTCCTGCCTCTGCCTCCCAGTGCTGGGATTAAAGGTGTGTGTCACCACTGCCTGGCTACTTCCGTAGATGATGATCCTTTCAGGCACTGCGTCTGGCTTGAGTGTGTGCAGTCTTGGGTGTGCTTTCTTCCGTGCCTTTGGGGTCTTGTGTTGGGTTTATGATCTTGAGGCAGGAGACTGAGAGGAAATTAGGAAGGAGGAATGATGTGTTGGGAAAGTCACTGTGGAAGACAGAACTAAAGAAATCCACTTCCGCAGTGGGAATCCTAATAGAGAAGCTAAATAAACGTGGGCTTGGCAGGAGTTTAGGGGACTTCAGCCTGGACTTAGTGTGAGAGCTGAGAGAACCAAGTAGGGACATGCTGGGACAGATGGAACCTGAGTGGTGGGAAGGACCACAATCCAAAGGTTTTCTGGACACTTGGGCCACCATTATTATTTATTTATGTGATGTTGGGGATTGAACCCAAGCCTAATGTTCTACACCTAATGCTTGTGTTGAGCTTAATTATCTCATTAATATCTGAGGCAGAGTTTTCATGCAGCCCCGCTTTGCCTTGAGCTAGAGATGTAATGACATTGAACTCCTGATTCTCCTGCTTCCACCTCCCAAAGTCACTACCTGTCCTATTCATGCAGTGCTGGGAGTTGAGCCCAGAGCCCTCTGCATACAAGGCAAGTCCTGTAGACCTCTAGTCCCGGGCCTCTTTTCTGTGTCCACTAACAGATAGCTTGTACCATTGTAAGTTTTACAATAATGGGTAAGAGCTTCTACTTTTAGAATTAGCGTGTTTCTCCAGTGGTCAAGTCCTGGGCAGGTTAATCAACCTTTCTAAGCCCCAGCGTCTTCATTTGTAGAGATGGTGGGTTTGGGGATATTCCCACCTCATTGTGTTGTCAGGTTCTATGAGTGCATAGGAGATGCTTGCCTTCTTCTGCCTTCTGAGTACTGGGATTAAAGGTGTGCACTGCACCACCATGCCTGGCTCTGTGTGATGCTTTCTATTAAGAATCTGTGGTTGCTGGTCAGCTGGGGCAAACAGCTACAGTTAATAAGAGATCAATGCCATTGATGTGAAATTTATGCTTTATTGGGACAAAGTGTTTGCTCAGGTAAAGTACATGGAGTTGTAGTCCAGAGGGGTCCAAGACTATACTCGAGCTAGCAGCTGAATGTGGCAATGTCTGAGGGTCTCTGTGAGGTCCTGTTTCCTTTTAAGACATAAAAAGCTGGGCTGGAGAGATGGCTCAGTGGTTAAGAGCATTGCCTGCTCTTCCAAAGGTCCTGAGTTCAATTCCCAGCAACCACATGGTGGCTCACAACCATCTGTAATAAGGTCTGGTGCCCTCTTCTGGACTATTGTATACATAATAAATAAATATTTTAAAAAAAAAAAAAAAAAAAAAGACATAAAAAGCTATAGGATTAGGCCTGGCGGTGGTGGCGCACGCCTTTAATCCCAGCACTCGGGAGGCAGAGGCAGGCGGATCTCTGTGAGTTCGAGGCCAGCCTGGTCTACTAGAGCTAGTTCCAGGACAGGAACCAAAAGCTACGGAGGAACCCTGTCTTGAAAATCCAAAAAAAAAAAAAAAAAAAAAAGCTATAGGATTGAGCCAGGCAGTGGTAGCACACGACTAGTCCCAAAACTGGGGAGGCAGAGGCAGGTGGATCTCTGTGAGTTCGAGGACAGCCTGTTCTACAGAGTGAGTTCGAGGACAGCCAGGGCTATACACTAAAACTTTGTCTCAAAAAACAAAAAAGACTTGAACTTTTAAAGAGACTTAGAATTTTAAAAGTATTGAAGATTTTAAAGACAGAGAATTGTGAAAGTTGGCTGATGGTTGTATTGTAATATTAACATAAGACTTTGGGGCCAAGACATCAAAAGGTCATGGTTTAATGTGTGTTTGCATATCAAGTAGAGAAGGGGTAAAGGTTCATGATCACCTGTAACTGTTAACTGCCACGGCCTGGAGCCATCTGAAAGGAACAACTTGATTGAAGAATTGCCTGGACTGGATTGGCCTGTGGGTGTGTCTGTGGGGGACTGTCCTGTAGATAGAGGAGGGCACGGTCCCCTAAGCAGCACCATTCCCTGCCAGGTGGTCCTGTGTGTACAGGAAAGCCTGCTTGGCCTAAGCCATGATTGAGCCAAGCAAGCAGCATTCCTCAGTAATTTCTGCTTCAGGCTCCTACTTGAGTTCATGCCCCAACTTCCTTCAATGATGTACTGACCTGGAAATAGGAGGCAATAAACTTCCTCCCCGAGCTGCTTTTGGTTAGAGTGTTTGTAACAGCATAGGAATGAAACTCAGACATGGCTACACAATAATTGGCTGTAATGATGTGAAAGATTGTTGTAATCCACTGTCTCTTTACCCAAAAGTTCCCACAATGTAAAGAGTCAATAAATTGATGCTGTTGAAATGAATGGTCCAAGTTGCTGTGTCCTTGTGAAGCTTCGCTCTGCGTTTCTGAGATAAGTGACTTCCCTTCTTATGTCCCTGCTACTTTCTGTGGCCATCATCCGCTCAGAGCCTAACTTCCATGGACAGGAAACGGGTTTCTCAGAAGCCAGTGCCACAATCTCCTTTGGGTATATTTGATGGTGATGGCAATCCTGTGATGTCACTTGACCAATTCATTTCCCACTTCCTCAGCGCTCATTCATGTTTAAAAGCAACTTTCTTCCACAATGGCTGGTCTTGGCATGCTTCTATTGTGGCCATGATTTGCAACCGACATTTTGTGTAGAGTGGCAGCTAAGATAGTCTTGTGAGATGGTGACAGCATTGGCAGTGCTGCTGGGACAGGCTCAGTTGACCCAGGCGTGTAACTAAGGCAGGAGACCAGCAGGACCCTCTGGCCAGCTTTAGATTGTTGGCTTTGCGTCTGGCTTTGGACAGGTCACTTTAGACAGCCAGATGAGCCCCATGCCAGAGAAAAGCACTGCGGGACAAAGCACAGGGTCTAGTCAAGGTGGAGCAGAACTTGGCGT